GAGTACGTCTATATAGGCTTAAGTAAGTATGTATATGTATTCAGTTTCTGTTTTAGTTTTATTTTTGAAGATTTAGATAAAATAGAGTAAAGTAGTTTGAATCGTTTGTTAAGTGCCTTACGTTTCATTTTAACATGCGGTCCCCATGTCATCCTTCTGTCAAAGGTGAGTCCAAGATAAAGTACCGGGTCCGTTTGAGGAATTTCATTGTTGTCAATATAAACTGGAGGGTAAGTTCTTTTGCGAAGAGTAAATGTTGTATATTTGGATTTGGTATGTTTAAGTCGAATTTTCGATAGTGTGAACCAATGTTGTAATTTAAGTAAGTGATGTCGTTGAGTTAGTGAGGCATGTGTAGGGCCTTGATGTTTTGTGAGAATTGTTGTGTTGTCTATTTATATAGCGCATATTTATATCGCAGAGATTAAAAATATCAAAAAATCAAAAATATTCCACTTAATAGATATATGGTGTTAGAAGACATTGCAATTGTTGGGAATTTAATTTTTCACATACAATTTTAGCGCAACAAACTACTAATAGTACGTGTTAAAGACTCCTTTTTATCAAATTATTAACATCCGTCTGAAACTTGGTAAATAGCTTCATCTTTTCGTAACCTACAGCTATTTCATTTACGAAACTCTTGGAATTGGGGCATTTTTAATCAAGAGGTCGGGAAAATTTTTGTATTTAATTAGATACTAAAAACTCGTAAATACCCATTTGCTTAACTCTTGCATCATAGGATAATTTGATCACAGAATCTAACAAAAACAGGCTTACCAAAATATATAATCCGTTTGTCCTATATAATCTCGTTATTTTGACAATCTGGTGTTGGTCACGCCAAACGGGTCAAAAGTTTTTTTTTTCCTTGATGTTGTGCTCAAATTCTCTTATGATTTAAATGAAAATCAAATAATTATTAACGGTTTTTTTACCTAATTAAATAGACAAAGTTTGCCCATATCCAAATTGAAAACAACACAATTTTTGGGAATTTTACTAAATAAAGTATTTGTAGATTACGATGAGATGAAGCTATTTACGACGTTTCAGAAGGATGTTAATAATTCGATAAAAAAAGGGGTCTGTAACACGGAATATATATCATGGGTGATAAATAACCAGGACGTCGTCTTTTTTTTTTTAAATGTTAAGTTTTTATTTATGCCAAGATTTCAACCCAAACATGTGGGTCATCTTCAGAGCTGAAATTTTTAAAAAAATACTATCAGAGATATAACATTATACGATCGATAATGGTAAATAATAAACTATATTAATTAGGTAAATAAGAAACTATAGTGATTGATGGTATATGAATCTTAACCAATATAGTTAACTAAATATTAGCTAAGATATCTTAACTAATATTAGTTAAGATTCATGCACCATCAACCATTATAGATTATCATTTACCTAATCACTATAGTTTATTATTTACCGTTATCGATCGTATAATATTGTATCTCTGATTGTATTTTTAAAAAAAATTTCATCTCTGAAGATGACCGACATGTTTGGGTTGAAACATTGGCATAAATGAAATTAATTTTTTTTTTTAAAAAGATTGCGTCCTGATTATTTATCTATGATATGTAGAACGGTCGGCTAACTTCTTTTAATAATAAATATCCATTTGGTAAAATTATTTTGCTAATGATGCATATAATAACCTTGATTATTATTATTATTATTATTATTATTTTTATCTGAATTTGCCTCTACTCGATAGGGTCATTGGCAATTCTTTCTTCACTCCAGTCTCCTATATTCTATTGTAGAATTAAGTTTTGTTCAAAAATTATTATTATTATTATTTATTATGATTATTATTTATATTCTTATTAGGTATTAAAATCAATTGAAAAATCTGCAATATGATTATTGTTGGAATATATTTACTATATACGGTTGGTTGAACGTTCCGCCTATTTGTGTGTGACAGGCAGCGACACAGCTCAAAGAATGCCTGCCGCTGTCAGGGGGAGAGCGGGATGGGAAAACAAATACTGGAGAAACTGCTCACGATTTACATGCAACTGAATTTAAGTTTTCCAACTTAATAAATCGAAAACAGACAGTTACTACTAAATTAACCTATTTTAAAACCTCCTTAAATTATCAAAGATAATTCTAGGGGGTAAATATGAAATATAAACTAAGTTTTCCAGAGAAATGTTTTTCTTTGGTTAACAAGAATCATATAAAGATAAATGTACTCGAGAATCCATCGGTATGGGTGTAAAAAAATGATTAAAATATATTAATAAATATCTCATGATTAAACAAGAAATCTCTTGTTAAATAAATAAATAAAAAAATATATTACACACACAAAAAATTGGTGGAGTGCATTAAAGCTTTTACATACCATCCTACTTTCAATACAAATTATTGCTTTTTTTTAAATAAATGTAAATTTAAAACAGTTAATATAAAATATGATAATTGTTTTTGTTGTATATTTTTGTTTAAAGAAGCTGAAAAGAAATAATTTTCAGTTTAGTAATAATAATCGCTCTCGCTCAAACTCCACTGGCTTTAGCACTAGGGTTGAGAGAGTAGCACAGGGATCTCTTAGAGTCCTTTTTTTCCTTTTATAGTTGGGAGGAGAAATCTAATTTGGGATTCCCTGCCTGATTGTATATATTGTAAACTGACTGTGTTTTTATGTTTTTAATTTACTTATCTTTAGGTTATTTTATTTCTTATTGTAGAAAGTTTTTGATTATTATTTGATTTTTGTTAATTTTATATTTTCTGTACATATGTTATGAATTGATTGTTATATTTGTACAGATTGTTATATTTCTAAATAAATTAATAAATTTATGTGGTAACAATAAGTTCAGTTTAGTTTCTATGGAAACGTTTATTTCTCACTCAGCAATATAAAAGTTAAAATTAGATGTTATTGGCTGAATAGCAATTAAAATGAAATACGGAGCTCCTCAAAGTCAAACGTAACATGTGCATGTGATCTGATATATCCCTTTCAATCAGTGTTACCGCGCACTCTGTGACAAATTCTTGTACCTCAAACCTCGTATATCCTCGTTTGCTTGTTCATTGAAAATTAATACTTATTGGCGCAATTTTATTGTTTTACTCATTCTTCATACTGTTCGGTTAATTTTCTAAACTTATACCTGATATCAAATTCATCCTGCGCCATTATCGCTTGGTCATGAGAGAATAGTAGGTGACATAAATATCTGTCATTCATTTTATCACATATTTGTGTCCAATTTCTCAAGCAATTATCGATATATATTTTTAATGAAGTAGAAGGAAATGCAGCATTTCTGAAAACGGGCCTGTACTATTTCCAAACTCTTCTGACATGAAGGGGCGAATTTTTATTTAGTGAAAGAACTATAATGTCAATAAACAAAACAGAAAAAAACATATATATTTCATATATACAGTGGCTCACAGTCAAAATGATTCACCTTTTTATTTATAGAAATTATTGAATAAATAAATAGTTTAATTTATATTAAATTAAAAACAACAATTTATTTTAATCAATAACCATCCTGGTAAAATGTTATTTTCTTTTGTTCTAATGTTATGCTACTTTTCTTGGTGTGTGGATGTATGGCGATGTTATTCACATGCTATAGTGAAAAAATATGTTTTTATATACATTTTGAGATGAAAATTTAAAAAAATTGTTCAAAATTTGTTGTAAAAAAGAAATTTTGTTTTTATCAGGGTAATGAATCCAAACATGCTGTCAAGTGAGTTAAGGAATGCCCACTTTATAACTGCCCCAAAGTTAAAAAAAACACAGCCACCACATCTAAATATGATTTTTTTTTTTTTTTTTTTTTTTTTGAATAATAATACAATCAGCCACTGCTGGAGGGCTATAAGCATTAGGGCTAAAAGTTCTCATTCATACAATATATACAAATAATAAAGAAATAAATATAAATATAAGAAGTAAATAAATAATACTGATGAAGAAGGTAAATAAATAAAAAATAAAATAAAAAAATAAAATAAAATAAAATAAAAACTTCTAAACACAAATATGATTAGAAAATACGAAATGACTAGCAAAGAAGACTTATAAAAAATATCTCCTCGAAGAATGGAATTAGCCTGAAAACAAAAAATATTGGTCGATTCCATTACAAACAGGCTATAGAAGGAATGGTAGAAAATGATAGCTTGCCTACAAGATATAGAAATAAATTAATAGTATTTAAAAATTAATAAGAAGTGAGGTTTATCATTTTAAATGTGAGGTAAAATTATCTATTTTTTAAATAATCACAGTTGAATATTTTAATTTGATTGCGTTTGTACATATTTAAAATGAGATTATTAATAAATCTGTCGAATAGTTATTGGTTTTATTAGCTTGCTTTAACCATTTAACTTATTTTTTCCCAATGAGGTGTATCAGTTTGACAGTGAACCACTGTATGTAACTGAATCTAAAAAAAATATACTTGTAGAAAATGTCGTTATTTGAAAGAAAAAAAAATTGAGGGGTCGTTCTGAAAGCATGATATGATATACCCCTCACGAATTCAACCCTTATAAAATTTAAATAAAAAAATAAATAAATATATATATATATATATATATATATATATATATATATTTAAACATAACCATTTAATTGGTAATTAGGTCATTTATTAATTATTTAATAAACTAAGCTAATCATAATGTGTAGCTTAATATCTGTGCTAGTGGACGGTGCTGAGACTGTCGGTGTGTCCCTGGCCTGAGGTATCGCGGCTCTATTTTAAAAACTTTGAAGAAGATGCCATTGTTAACTTATAAAAAGGAAAAATACCGGGATCGAAACGTCAATAAATGATTATGTTTAAATTTAATACTCAAAGGTCGATTAAAGAAAAGTTGTAAATATATATCTAATTACTACGAAATGAGGTTACAGGCTCAGGAAATACCAAGCTAACAATGTAATTCGATAATAAATACATAAAGTTGCAATTCAATCCCAAATTGAAACTGATCGTCAATGACCCGCGCGATTTTCAATTAAAGCAAGATATTGATGGGACCTTCAGTGGAGCCAATACCTTCAGTATAATGGAGAAGACCCCGCCAGTATTCCTCTATAGCTAGTCGAATCGAACCTGCTCGGCTAATGACAATAAACAGCTGATAGACTCGGCCAACCCTAATGGCTGTGCCCCGATAGGATGTCGCGGGAGCCAACTTAATTGTGTTGATAGTCAGTACAGCCCGCTTCATTTCTCATTGTCTCATTATAATGACGAGTCTGGTCAATATTGCTTCAAGCAAACCACTTTATAAGCTCCTTGTTCAATAATATTTACTTATACTGTACTTAACCGATCGTAATTACTTCAATGAAGATAAAATTCATTATGTGATTACTCTCGTTAAATAATAATAAAAAAAAAAAACTGATGTGGTGCGTTCGTTACAGAACGTTTCCTTGACTCCTTACTTATAATAATAATAATAATAGAATATAACATTATTCTGGGACGAAGTCCCTTCAGAATAACAAAATAGAACATAACTAAAAGACTTCATCTGGCCAAAATAAAACAATGATAAAAAAGAGAAAGTAAAGAAAATATAAACGCTTAAAACTGTGATAAAGCACTTAAAACTATGTACAGTAGGCAAAATTATAATTATACACTTTTGAAAAATAAAATAATAAAAAATACATTGAGTTCTTCTTTAAAATGAGATGTGTTTCTGCTTAATAAAGGCAAGACAAAGCTGACAATATAAAATGTCAGAGTATTTAAATAATGAATAATATGTAGACACACCATTGTCTAATTCTAACTATAGGTACATATTTAATTATATAAGAATAAAAAACGAACAATATATGCATTCAGTGGCATTAAGAGGCCTCTACCCTGCAGGGTCATTAGCAACACTTCCTATTTATACTCTATTGTAGAACTTTATTATTTTTAAAAATTGTAAGGTTTTTTCCACGGCGTTTTCGTTGTCACTGAGGTTTTCTTTTAGGCTCTGAGCTATATCGAGATTTTCCCCTACATTCTTAAATACCGGGCAGTTTTGAATGATGTGTTGAACAGTTCTTTGCACCTTACAGCTCTCGCAGGTCGGTGGGTCTAGTCCTCTTAGTAAACAGCCATGTGAAAATTCACAATGTCCAATTCATAAGCGGCAGAGGACTGTCTCTTGTTTTCTAGAGAGTCGGTTGCTAGTTTTTCATTTGGAACAGTGGTTTTTTATTTATTTTAATTTGGTTTCTTTTTGTTGCTATAAGCTCTGCCACATTACTCGCCATATTTGCTGCATTGTCTGCCTGTTCATTTCCGACAATTCCGCAGTGTGAAGAGACCCACATGAACATTATTTCCTTTCCCTTTTCTGTCAGTTTCCACCAGATATTTTTAATAGATCTCGCCAGTGTGGTTGTCGATGCTCTCTTTTCGATTCCCAGGATTGCGCTCTTTGAGTCCGTTACCACGACCCATTTATTACTCTCCGTTGAATCAATATAAGTCAAAGCTTCTCTACTAACGATCATCTCTCCACTAAACACAGGGCAGATCTGCGGAAGTTTGAAATACTTTTCTATTTGAGAGTTGACAATAGCACTTCCTGCTTCGTTGTTTACTTTTGAAGCATCAATAAAAATGACATTACATTTTTCATGTTTTTCCATTATTACTAGAAATAGGGTTTGTGCTTCGATAGGAAGTAGCATATCTTTTCGAGAGCCATCCATCGCGTTCTCTATAACTGGCGAGGTATGAATCCAAGGGGGGATAATAATGTCCGGCACGTCCAAAAGAGATTCTAACTTTGATTCTGAGACATTTTCAAGAAATGTTTCTACGAAATGCTTTTCCCCAGCTGTTGTCTGATTCCTCCCGGAATAGTATTTTATTTAATGTAAGTTTTGGGCGTGTCTTAATTTTGAGACCGTACTACAATCTTTTCAGATAGAGAGGAGATTCATCTGCTTCAACATAAAGGCTTTCTACTGGTGAGGTTGGCAATGCTCCAGTACAAATTCTTAAAGTAGAATAGAATAGTACTATCGTTTGATGATGAATGATAGAATAGAAATGTATAATATCAATAGTTTAGCAAGCATCTGACTTTTTTTGGGAGAGGAATTGGAATAGGAGGGTTTTGAATGTGGATATGGAGGGAGAATGCCGGATTTTGATAAGTAGGGAATCCCAGAAATTTACAGCGAACTATAAAGGAGTTTTGAAATGAGGCAGATGTGTGAGAAGGGATGTAGAGGTCAGAAGGTCGAGATCTTGTTGAAAGGGAATGGCTGAGGACTTGAATTGGAGAAGGTTGTAGGCGTAAGAAGGACGATGGTTGTTGATGATTTGATAGAAGAACGTACCTAGGAAATATTGACTTCGAATGGAGGGGAAGAGTGTAGTGGTGAGAAACATTAACATATGGTAGAAATATCTATTTTCTTATATAGGAAAGTTTAAGCATAGATTATAGACGGTGTTAGATATTCATTTAAAACAATTAATTACCATGTTTCCCTAATAATTAATTATATGTTATATTTATAACTTCCCGTGTCCTTTTACAACTGCATACCTGTATATGTCTGTATCTGTAAATGTTTCCTGTTTACAGATACAGTTTTTAATCTAGTTTTCACCTTAATCTTTTAATTAATCATAAAATTCGTTTTTATTTTATATTCACCATTTTTATTTCCAACTACAATGTGAAATGGTTCGTTATTATAATTAAACAATTTCCTGGGAAATTATCTGTACATACCAGCCTCATATTAAAGACCACTTGACTTTACATTAATTTGAAGAGTTAAATCAAAATCATTTGAGCCATTTTCTATAAACAAACGAATACACAAACCATTTTGGGAAAAACATTTTTTTTACTCTTTTTTTCTCGAAACGTGTATTTCTGTAGAAAACTGTGATTTTAGATTTCACACGATTGCAATACTTTCCGTTATAATATATTTTATTTATATGTAAGGGAAAGTAGAAATAGAATTACCAATAATAATTTACACTCTTACAATAAACCGGTAATCAATAAAATGAATTATAAAACTTTTAAAAATAATTGAGATCACTTCAGTTTTTTTCCCCCATTTGCTAATAAAGTATCGCCTAGATGGTGCTTTTAGTGAAGTCCATCAATCAAGTCAGGAGGGCGGACTTGAAGAATTATCTATCATCGATCTTATATCTTTTTCGTGGATATTCTTATTAAAAGTAATGAGAAAATTATTGAAAATAAGACGAAAACAAATATTCACAATTTCAAAGATATAATTAAATATGAATGTAATGTTCAAAGACTTTTTAATTAATATTAGGTTTTATTCAGGAAATCTAAACGCAAATCCTTGAACCTCTGCAAATGCAAGTAAAACGATTTAATCCGTCGACGTTATTCTGATTCGGACAGAAAACAAACTATATATTTTCGAAAGATAAAAAAAAAAAATACAATATTGCAAGTACACCAGTGAACTATTTCTCAATTTTTTTTAAATGTTAAAAGAGAATTTGATATTACAATCGAAATAGAAAATATATTTTTTCGCATTTCCAGAAAACATCTTAACAATGATTAGCGTTCATTTTGAAAACAAATGACTCAATTGAAATATAAAATAATTATTTACTGAAAATTATTTTTTATTTATTTTTTGTAATCATAGTACATAAATTTCAGAATAATAAAGTCTCATAATGTAGTTGTTTTTTTTTTAACTGAACCTTACGATACCCAGAAAATATTTTATACATAATCTAAATAGTCATGAAAATATAATAAACTATAAACATATCATTCAATACAATGGTACAGTATAATGTAACAAAATCCTCAATGATTGTGAATCTCTGAGATGAAGTCAGTTAAATTGGACGTTTTGGTTTAGATTAATTAATGAGTTTTTAACGAGAAACGTTTAAGACGTAACGACCGAAAAACTTTTATTAAACCAGTTTCATTTTTGTAGGTTGATTTTATTCTGGTGGGAGTATTAATTATTTCCCATTTTACTACATGGATAAAAAACAAAGTATTTAAACTAATTATCTAAAATCTATGAAAGAATTATATAATTTGCTTAAGAATAAATTTACTAAATTAAAGCTAATTATTGATTTAATCAAAACGATTTAACTTATTTTAATAGTCTTAATTATATCTCAAATTAATAAATATAATTGAAATTCACAAATGTATCCTTTGTGGTTTAGCTCCATTAAAACTGCATATTTTGCCATTTTTTTGTAGTATTTTTATACTAAAATAATTTTTACTCAAAATATAGTAAAGGTGAAATTTTTGAAATGCGCCTGCCAGATTTTTTTTTTTAAGTAAAAACAGGTGCGTTTTGGATTTTATTGTGGAAAGTGAATTAGATTAAGCTGTCAAATCTGCGATGTGTAACGCTCGGGTATAGTCGGCTGAAGTCGTTTAATTGAAGGGTAGTTGCAGAAGTATTTAAATATCTAATAGAAGTATTTAAATACTACACCCCATGAAGGTTCTGGGGTTCAGTACTATTTAGGGAAAGCACTGTTTCTAGGTCAACGGTTGTGCAAGGAGGTGATTTGACCGAGATCACGCTCAACCGGCAGGTTTTCCCCCTCAATTAATTATTTAATTAAGGGTACCCACTTTATAGAGGCTGGGTGTGCCCCAGGAGAGTCTCCCTACCCAGGATCATCAGACAGCCAATGAAAATGATTAATAAATTTTTTGCCATGAGCTGGGGTTCGAACCGGGGACCTTTGCATTGGAAGCTCAGTGACCACTGAGCTACCCTACTCTACATTAAAATATCTCAAAAACTAAAAATCAGACCTGCATACTGTAAGTGTGGGAAATGTTCAGCATTTCAACCTCATTATAATGAGCTAACAATTTTATAATTTATATTTCACATTATTAATCTGGCCTTGCTGTTGTTTTTTTTTTAAAATTTTGGATTCAACTATTCACAAAGTCCTCATTAAACCACTTTGGACATATGGGATCGAACTATGGGGAACAGCAAAGAAATCAAGTATAAAAATAATCCAGTCATTCCAGTCAAAAGTTCTTCGAAAAATTGTAGACGCACCCTTTTATGTTTCAAACCTCACGTTACACACTGACCTTAACACTCCTTTCATCACGGCAACTGCCACTGACCGCTTTAATAAATTCCAATCCACTTACTCAAGCTCTAGCTACTGCCACCAATCCATATAATCCGCCCAGAAGACTGCTGAGGCGCTGGCCAACAGACTTATTGCATTGAGCTACATGCTGCATTATCTTTTTT